AAAAAAAAAAAAAAAAAAAAAAAGAGCACAGCAACAGTGAACTGCCTCTTATTTCTGAGACCACTGCTGTCCGGTCACAGAGAAGGGCTTCCTGCTCTGTTTTAGGGACAGGCCAGCAGCTGCTGTTGTCCCTAATAACCTCCTGCAAACCTGTCTGAGGGCTGAGCAGGATGGAAAGGAACAAGAAACACCAACTAGGAGATTTTCCCTCCCCTTCCTGACCCCTGAGGGCCCCCTTTTCCATTTCTTGGACCAGAAGTGGAGGGCTTCTTTTGGGTTCTTTTATCTGTGCCTTTACCTTTAGTCTGTGGCAGGTTATACTAGAAGGAAAAATAAAGGGGAATTCAGTATTGGCTGTCACGTTGTTTTGATTTCTGGTTTACTTCCCCATCTGTCCTGTTGTTCTACACTCAAAACTATAGAGAGCCCCAAAGTAACTTTGGTCGTGTTGGCTTCCCCCTGTTGAATAACAGAAATGTGACGGAGTGTTCTGGGCCACAAAATTCCAAGGAGCTTTTGCAGAACCCTCAGAGTGGACAAGGAAGAGGGCAGAAGAGTGATCAGAGACTGAGTCAGTCCTTCAGGCTAGGTAAGCCTCCACTTGAGCACATTCATGCTGCTTATAATGCTGTGTAAGATTTCTTAATCTCAAGTTGTTTATCTATTGGCTGTCAAGAACTATGGAGTATGGGGAACCAGCGGTTAGCATAATGGCTATGTCGCTGGACTCCCACGTTGTTGACCGCGGTTCGCGCCGGGACCCGGTAGCTTAAAACTCACGCCGGGCACGTGTGCGTGCGTGCCCAAGATCCCGAGAGGAGAATGGAGAGAAGGGATTGTGGCGTGACCATCCCCCCTGGGGCGTGATTTCTCGCTTTCTGTCTCTATGTCTCCTCTTTTGATCTTGATGTCTCTCTCTGTCTGTCTAGCGAGCGCACGCGCCCTATAGCAAAAATCTCTCTCTCAAAAAAAAATGAAGAACTATGGAGTATGAGCAGAATTTTTTGATTCATAAAGTAAAAATTTGTGGGAATATGTAAAAAAAAAGATTTCTGAATCTCTGTGTTACCTTTCTCTTTAAATCTCTATCTTAGGCCCCGTATGTTCCTTTATGGATAATACTTTATTTTCCTATCACAGAAAATCCAGCTGAGTTGCGGCCTAAGAGTACTCTTGGAGGTCAATTGAATGAATCCATGTTTCTCCTCAGGTTTGTATAATGAAGAGGCAAGGCAGGATCAGTGAATAATAAAAGTCAGATCTTTAAAGCATACCATCTTGGTGGCAAACTATTGGTTGGTTGGATAAATCATTACGTCTTTTTCTGTTTTTCTGTGCAAAAATGAGTCATGACTTTTCTGACAACCCAATATGTTACATGGAGATAAAGAACAGGAATATTAATGCTGAATTCCAGTTTCACTCTCCATTTTCTTTCTTTGTTTTTAAAAACATGTGCCTGAAGGTAAGTGTGCTTAGCTGAGAGAAATGGAGGGGCATGGTCACGCTGTTGTCCTGCTCCATCTCTCCCACCTTTTGGGACTTCGACTTTGCACGCACACATGGCTGGTGTGATTTTCAAGCCACCTCTAAGACTCTAACTGAAGGTTGGCCATGTGGGATCCAGCTGCCTTAACCACCAGGCTGCAGGCTGGTACCACTCTCCATTTTCAAAGTTACACTTAACTTTGTTTATGTTTGCTATTCTTTTTTGTTAGTTTTGTTAATTTTACCCAAACCAACTTATTTTTCCTGTTTGTTAAAGTCTCTTCATTCTATACAGAATTGAATTTAAAATGGTAAAAGTCCAGCTTCTTTTGTTGTATAGATTTTATACAAAAGAACAGGTTGTTTTCTTTAAATACTTTTTGGTATGCGATAGCGAACAATGTTTAATATTGAAAAAATTAAAAACAATCAGACTACATAGGAGTCCAGCGATGTATCCGTTACGCCATCCGCTGGTCCCATAGACCTTTCTTTAACTATGAGATCATGTATTGGGTTGTTGGAAAAGTCATGATACATTTTTGCATAGAAAAATATGTCACTTTTCTGATGACCCAATAGAATCATTATATTCTACCATTTTTTATAAGATGTGTATTTTTCCCAGAAAAGAGTAAGTAGAGGATAAAGTTTCTGAACTCTGATAATGTTGACTAGTGTGTACTTTCAGCTCTCGACCTACTCCAAGAACTAGCACTGCAGTGGGGTTAAGTCCTGGTGAAGATCTGACCCAAAATTTACCACAGAAATCTTCTCCTTTGACCAAGGTGAGCTGAGATGCAAATAATTTTTTCTTCACAAGATAGAGAGGCCCAGAAGAATAACTGCAAGCTGTTATATGAAATGTGTTCATAATTACAACATTTACAATAAAATTATCTTTCCTAATCATCATTGGTTTTTCTAGTAAGTACCCTAAAAATGCCCACTTAGTTGCTTCACATTTAAAATTTTCTTTTTTTTTTGGAGAGATTTTTTTTTTTGCTATAGGGTGCGTGCGCTCACCAGACGGACAGAGAGAGACATAGAGACAGAAAGCGAGAAATCACCCCCCAGGGGGGATGTTCATGCCGCAATCCCTTCTCCTCCATTCTCCTCTCGGGATCTTGGGCACGCATGCACACGCGCCCGGCGTGAGTTCTAAGCCACCGGATCCGGGACGCGAACCGCGGTCGACTACGTGGGAGTCCAGCGACATAGCCATTACGCTAACTGCTGGTTCCCTGACATTTAAAAAATTTTTTTATAGTAACTTTATTGAGATGTAATTGACATATAACATAAATTTTTCCCATCTAAAGTTCACAATTCAGGGGTGTTTAGCATATTCACAGAATTGTGCAACCATTACCACAATTAATTCTAAAACTTTCATCATCTCCCATAGAAACCCTGTACCCATTAGCCACCACCCACATTTTCCCCGAGTTCTTACTCAGTCTCATGGGTAAGGGAACCTCTTTTTCTTTTTCTTTTTTTTTTGGAGAGGATTTTTGCTATAGAGTACGTACACTCACCAGAAAGACAGAGATAGACACAGAGACTGAAAGCGAGAAATCACTACCCCGGGGCAGATGGCCATGCCACAATCCCTTCTCCATTCTCCTCTTGGGATCTTGGACATGGCACGCACACGCTCCTAATCTGGCTTAAACTCACGCCGGATGTGTGTGTGTGTGTGTGTGCCCAAGATCCCGAGAGGAGAATGAAAGAGAAGGGATTGCAGCTTGGCCACCCCCCCTGGGGGGTGATTTGATTTCTCGCATCTCTGTCTCTGTCTATCTGGCGAGCGCACGCGCCCTATAGCAAAAACCTCTCCAAAAAAAAAAAATTATTTGTTTATTTTTGCATAAGAGGGACAGAGTAGGGCATCCCCAATAAGATCCTCACACCATGATCCACTCCCAGCCTTAGCCAGTCCAGGTCACAGGCATGCACATGCTTGCCCAGGTATGTAGGGTGCTCTTGGGATGGGAACCCAGAATCTTGTCATATGGATCCAGTTATATTGCCAGTATACCACTATCTGAACCTCTTTTTAGAAAATAATTATATATTTTAATTTTATTTATTGTTACTGTTAAAAAATTTTTTTATAGGGCACATGCACTCACCAGAGAGAGAGGTAGAGAGATTGAGAAAGCAAGCAAGCTGCCAGGTCTGGGACTCGAACCATGTTGGCTACGTGGAGTGCAGTGCCTCAACCACCACACCACCAATTGACCCAGATCTGTTTTCTGTTCTTAACCAGTCTTAATGTAAATACTAGCAATTCACTTCCTTTTTTTCTGAGCTTTGCTTTATTCATCTGTAAAACGAGAGTAATGCTACTTACACTTTAGGATTTTTGTGATGATCGGATGAGACCTCTGCAAATGTTTCGAATAGCAGTCTGAGTATATGACATAGGTGCACTTACAGTGGTATCAGAAACTTACTGGCTCTTCATTAGTCAGAGACACAGTCTCATTTTTGTTTTTGTTCCAGATTACAGGTGAGCACCTGAGTCAGCAGGACTTGGAATCCCAGATGAGAGAGCTTATCTACACGGATTCAGATCTTGTTATCACCCCGATTATTGACAATCCAAAGGTGCGGAAACAAACTTCTTGATGACTGAGGGCTGAGTTGTAGACTTCGCTGAGATCTGAAGTCTGTGTGATGTTTCCTTTTAGAATATTTTTGGCCTTCCTTTCTTCCCGTTCCTTTTGGTGTCTGCTTCTCTTTCATTCATCACACACGTCTGTGTTTCCTGCTTCCCCCCTGCAACTCTGTTATCTTGCTTCACTCCCACACCTCTGGAGTGCTGAGTTTTTCCCCTGCTCTGTTTTTTATGCTCTGCTTCTTGTTCCTGTACTCTTCCTGTATAGAATGACTGTTGGCATCTAGACCTCAGGCCTTGAACTCTCAGTCTCTTCATTTCTCTACATATATTTACAGGAATCAATCCTAATATTCTAGTTGCTGATGTATGACGAAGGCAGATGCTGCGAGCATGGCTCACCAGAGAGAGACAGAGGGACAGATAGAGAGGAGAAAGCAAGCCCCAGTGGCTGTAGTCGTGCTGCAATTCCTTCCCTTTCTGGGTGGGGTGAGCAGGTCACCTCTCTTGGGTTGTCAAGACTATAGGGTACACAGTGGGGGCATTACAGGAGAGTTGTGGTTCGCAATGCACTTCTCACCCAATATGAGTTTGTTGCATCATGGCTTTTGGAGTGTAATTCCATATTACTAGGGGGGGTGATGAGTACACGTCTTTAAAAATTAATTTTCCAGTCCCCTGCTTTTTAAAAATCAATTTTCCAGTCCCCTGCTTTCTGTTTTACAACCCCCCTCCCCAATATTCCACCATCTCTTCTAGATTTTTAAAAATGTCCTTTTCTGTATTAGTTTATGATTGTTTCCTCTTATCTCATTGGAGAACATTACTGTGGTATAATGGATCAAATGGGCTTTTGGATTCATGTTTATTTCCTAGATAACATTTAATATGGATTATTTAGCTGTTTTCATTATAGAGCTAATTTATTTTTATAAGCTTTTTAGTCATGTTTCTCTCTTTTTTTAAGCAGAAAGCATATGTGCACGCGCGTGCGCAAGAGAGAGAGAAAGAGAGAGAGAGAGAGAGAGAGAGAGAGAGAGAGGGAACACTCTATGGGTTATGGGCACGCTGCAATCCTTTTCCCTCCGTTTCTCTATCCTGTCAGGATTTGGAACATGTATCCACATGTATTGAGAATGTAAAAATTTTTTTCCTAGCTGCTGGAGCCAGGATTTAAATCCTGATTGACCAAATGGAATCTGGCTTCCAGTGCACAGTATTTAACCACTGTGCTGCAGGGTTGGCCCCCGGACCTAGTTCTTTTTATGAGTACAGATATCTGACAGGGTAATGGTTAAGCTAACTTTGAAGGGTAATGGGGCTTTTTCACAGTGGACTTTGTAAAACAATTTGTGTTATCTTTGGATTATATTCTCTCTGTATTTATTTCTTATTCCTTTTTTTTTTTTTTTTTTTTAATTTGCAAGAGACTACATGTATTCACGAGGGACAGAGAGACAGAAAGGGAGAGGAAGAAAGCACCCTTCAGCAGGGCGTGATCTCACTGCCGTCTTGTTGCAGTCCCGTCTCCTCCATCTCTTCACCTGTCAGGATCTGGGGCATGCATGCACACATGCCTGATGTGTTTTTTGTACCACTGAGGTTGGGATTTGAACCGTGCTGTCGGCCATGTGGGATCTGGCTCCTTTAGCCCCTAGTTCATGGGACTGGTTCTCTCTGTATTTCTTTCTTCTTATAACTCTACCTAGTAGTTTCTGGGAAACCTTAGTAGAAATTTTTGTTTGTTTTTAACTTTTTATTTTACACTACTTTTAGACTTAGAAAAGGTTTGGAAATAGCAGTGGTCTTGTATATCTATAAGATGTTAACATCTGGGACCAGCAGTTAGCATAATGGCTGTGTCGCTGGACTCCCACATAGTCGACCACGGTTTGAGTCCCAGACCCGGTGGCTTAAAACTCACTCCAGGCATGTGTGTGTGCGTGCCCAAGATCCTGAGAGGAGAATGGAGGAGAAGGGATTGCGGCGTGGCCATCCCCCCTGGGGGGTGATTTCTTGCTTTCTGTCTCTCTGTCTCTGTCTGTCTGGTGAGCGCACACACCCTATAGCAAAAACCTCTCCAAAAAAAAAAATATGTTAACATCTTATGGGACCATAATACAGGTAGCCAAAATGGAGAAATTAACATTGCTACAGTGTTATTAACTAAACAAGTGACCTTATTTGAAGTTGACCGGTTGTGCCACTGATGCCTTCCTTGTTCCCAGACCCATAGTAGTTAGTTCTTATGCCTCCTTGGTCTCATACCATCTGTCCTGGTCTTTCATGGCCTTGTAAACATTTCCTTGTCTTTCATGACCTTGACACTTTGAAGAATAACTGGTCAGGTATTTTGTAGAATGTCCCACAACTTGGGTTTATCCAAGTGGTCATCCCTTCTGGGGAGTGATTTCTCATTTTCCTTCTGTCTGACTCTCTCCAATAAGCATTTGTACCCTATGGCAAAAACCTAAAAAAAAAGTGTGTGTAATTTCAAGAATACTAATGAACATTCATGCACCCAGGAAATCAAATTTAATTATGTCTACGCAGGTTAAGAAATGGAACATTTACATCATCTATCAATATTTCTTTTCTTTAAAAAATTTCTCAGAGGGCGTGTGCACTTGCCAGAGAGAGAGAGGGAGAAAGATACCCTTCAGTGGGGTGTGGTCATGCCATCATTCTTTTCTCCATTTCTCCATCCTGTTGGGATTTTGGGCATGTATGCACACCTACCTGGTGTGTTATTCAAGCCACCAGGCCCAGGCTTCAGACTGTAGCTGACCATATGAGATCTGGCTTCCTTAGTCATTAGGCTGTGGGCTGGCCCAAGATCTAAGAATATTTCTGTGTGTAGTTACCTCATCTTTTTCTTCTAGAGTAGACACTATTCTGTGTTTATTATTCCCTTGCATTTTGTTTCATTTATTAACTACACATTTTTTTAACAATATATTTAATTTTTAAAAATCTGCTAATAAGTATAAGAGGACAGATAGTATTGGCATTATATGAAGACTTCAAAGAGAACATGATTGTTTTTGGCTGATAGTCTGTCAGCTTCCCTGAGCATTTAAAAAGCCACTTGTGAGGAAGTTCTGCTAAACTTGAATGAGTTGTGCTCAACAGAAGGAAGGCTCACCGTAGGGCATCTGGCCGGGCTGTAGAGTGGACTGGGTAATTGATGTCTGACGGAAATGTCAGAGTAAATTTTCTGGTTCTCAGAGCATGGTGAATCAAACTCTAGCTCTTAGGAGTTGATCAAGAACGAATACTTCTGTGGAGCGATAAGGCTGTCCTTGCTAATCCAGGCATCTGAGCATGGATCTGGAAGCTGGGATGTAACCACCTAGTGGAGAGTAACTTACATGCTACTGGGACCATACTCCCCTGGGCAGATTGTTCCTCAGGTTAGAAAGAGCGTGATACTAGCTCAGATTTTGATGAAGGCAACCCTCAACTTGACTGTCAACTGAATTGTGCTCAGACCTGCCATCTGGTGCTCGTCATCTCAGGACTTTCCTGTGTTGAGCTGTTTTCTGGATTCCATGACTATTAACTTGTTTTGGTGGGACACATCCTTTGGTAGTTTCTAGAAGAAGTATGTATAGAGGCAAAATCTTTGAGACCTTGCATGCCTACCATATTTGATTGATACTTTACAGAATTTTGTGTGGGATAATTTTCTTTCAGAATTTTAAAGGTATTACTTCATTTATTCTGTTTATCTTTTCTTAGATTTTTGCTATGGGGTGCGTGTGCTTGCTGGAGAGACAGAGAGACAGAAAGTGAGAAATCACCCCCACTGTAGTCTCTTCTCCATTTTCCTCTCGGGATCTTGGGCACACATTCACTCATACCTGGTATGAGATTTTTTTGTCAGTGGGTCCGGGACTTGAACTGCAGTTGACTACGTGGGAGTTTAGCAACGTCTGCTGGTCCCACTGCATGTATTCTTATTTCCAGTGTTATTTTGAGAAACCCAGAGCCATTTTGAGTTCTGCTCCCTATGTCTGACTTGAAAATTTGTAAAATTTCTTAGTTTTTATAGTTATGAAATTTCAGTCATGTGCCTTGATGTGTGTGTGTTTTTTTTTTTTTTAAATCCATTGTTCTGGGCTTTATGTGAGCCCTTTCAGTGTAATTCATACTCGTCAGTTCTGGGAAACTTTAGTGTTCTCTGATGCTTTGTGCTGTTTTAGCCGTAAAACGGTTATTTGGATGTTAGATACTTACTACTGGCTATCAATTTTCTCACCTTTTCCTTTGTTCATCTCTGTTTTTAAGTTATTTAACTCAATCTTTCAACTCTTCTTTGCTATTGTATTTTAAAATCTCAAGAACTCTTTTTAATTTTTGAAAGTTACTTTTCTAGTACTCTTTTCTTGTATTTGAATCTATGGGTTTGTTCTGTTACCCATAGTCACTGAGAGTATTCACTTTTGTGTGTGTGTGTTTTTTTTTTGTTTGAAGTTATTTTCCTTGCAGCATCCTCCAAATTTCTTCTGTGTCTTTTTTTTTTTTTTTTTTTTTTTTGGGGGGGGGTTTTG